GGGGGGGGGGGGGCAACTTTTTTGGCAGGTGTGCCATGAGGTAAGCCCCACACCTAAATGCTGCTCTGATCCCCTTCCCTTGCCCCAACCTACTGGTCTGCTTCCTGCTCCCTGCCCTGTCTGCTCCTACCTTTCCTGCTCCCTCCTACATCTGCTGCATGCCACATACAGAGGCTACCCATACCAGTTGTGGCACACGTGCGGTAGGTTAACCACCCCTGTTCTAGGATGTCTTCCTTCCAAGCACTGGACAACCCAACCCCTTTGCTTAGGGAACAGAGTGAAGGGCCCAGGCTAGCAAAGGCCCGAGCTTAAACCTATGTGCTCATTAACTCCTATCACAAGTCTGAAAACACATCTCTACTATCGAGCAGGAAATGTCTGTGTACAAGCGTTTCTTACCTTAACATGTATAGCACAATGATAATAAATACTATGACTAGCAGAGAAGATAAGGCCACCATGACAGCTATAATTGGAGTCTCATCTGAAATAAAGAACAGGAACATAATTATAAGAAATCAGCAATAACATTTCACAGATCAGAGCCCTCTACAAGTACTGGCCTAAAGACAATCCAATTGTTTAATAAGATGGTGCCTTCAAGTCCCACAGAACAGACAGACACAAACTATAAAAACGGTGCTACTGATCTCATACAGACCATAATTTGACACATCAGACTATTACCCAGGGGTGGGCAATTATTTTGGCTGGAGGGCCGCTTAATTACTTCTGGTGAGTTGTCGAGGGCTGTAAGGTGCCACTCCCCAATTGCCATCTTGCCCACCCCCTGACACCCGACCTTTGACACTGGAAGTCCGTCAGTCCGTCTGCCCGCCGCCCATCCCCACCCTGGTCCTCCTCCCTCCTTGGAAGTACGTCTTTTGGGAGGGAAGGTTTCAACATCGCCAGGTGTATGATCATTACCATAGCTGTGTGATAATTTCAACCCTTGTATGATATACAATAGATAATACTAAAAGCATTCAAAATGTACAATGATTTTTGAAGCAGCTAATTGATGCAGCATATGCAAAACCCAAGTCACTCTTGGGGATTCTTAACTGACTTTCGGATTTGCCGTTAGCGCTTTCTTAGGGCTGCTGGCCTCAGAATATAGAAATGCTTCAACTTTGATGACCCAATTCTCACTCACTCCCTGGAGACTTCCAGTGAGCAATAGAAAGTAAAGACGACGACGACTTATTTGCATACTTATTTTTCCAGCATACGATAGTTTTTCAGAAAGTATGATAGTTTGAGCTTCCCATATGATCATTTCATATTTAAGACCTGGCAACATTGGATGGGTTTGCCATCTTGGAATCAGAAAACAACCCCAAATCATATACCAGAACTCAAACATCTACTATAACATACTTTATTTCAAAAACATATTTTTGTCCTGATTTGTGTTTGCATAGTGTATATAGAGGTGATTGCATAATAGCTCAAAATAAAGTCTTACTCTTTTATATTGTGCGTCTGTGTGTGGGGTGG